TCCTCCACATATTCATTCAGGCGCCCGATTTTTATGTACATTCGTGCAACTGCTGTTTTCAATCGGCGCTACAGAAGAAGCTCGTAATTTTCATCTGGAACAGAAAAACCAAATACAATTTTGATCTTCATATATTTCTTTTCTATATGAACTGGAAAATCCTGAAAAAATTATGAAATTCAAATGTTTTCTCAAGTTTGAATCAAAAAATGTGATTTTTTCCGGATTTTCCTTTCGATCCGTTGTACGTCGACGTTAACCTCAAAAATCTTGCAGATTTTATCAATTTTCGAATCGAGTAGCTGCATAATATTTGAAATTGAAGAATATCCTCATATCCTTGATATGGCTGCAATTCAACGATTTTCTGTCAGAACTGAGGTGTTTTGGGTTGATGCGCCTGGCGGTAGAGATGAAAGATGCGTTCGAATTTTGCATATCACCGTCTCAGCATCGAGTCAAAACTTTGTCTTTTGAAAGTTATTCGTACATTAAACGAATATTATGATGAAAAGTTCGGAGTGATTCGACTAAGAGAAAAGATCATCAATACCCCACTGCGTTCAGTGCTGTATCTCTGAGAATATTTCGCCCAAATAACTTTGTCTATACATTCTTATATAGATAAGGAATACATTCATACAAGAAAAAAATCCCTCTTTTTGACCTTCTAAATCAGGATCCTCCCTCAATAATTCGATAATTATAATAACTCCAGTGAATTTCTCCACAGATCATTTTCTTGACATAAACCCTCCTTTCTAAACAATCCTCCCCTTTGTTTCACTTCTAAACTGTCAAGTTGCGTAGCGCAGATGGAAGTGTCAAGGTTCTCGGATATTCGATACGAAAAGTGACAGAAAGATTGATTGATATAATTGTCGTAAATCGTAATCGGAACTAGTCGGAAAGCGATTCGTATAATTCCGTAGGAAACAAATGACCCATTGATGAAATTTACGAGCTATAATATAGTAACTACGAGAAGTAAGTACGAGTAACATTATATTTGATGGCCACTTCTGTTCCAACTAGAGAACAGTCTTCCTCAGTAAATGGAATCTCAACGCCACTATAAATAAAATATTCTACAAGCAGTTTCATTATAATAGACTCTGAGACGTCGCATATACGATATGTTCCAATAAAAGAGCACTTTATACTGATAAAATAATTAGATGCTGGCAGTATGATGGTAAGAAATAGATTGCGTTGCGAAGTTCGAACACCAGTTTCTTGAATAACGAAGTGATATAGCATTATGATCAACAACGTAATTATAAAAATTGAAATAAACTGCAAAATGGCGAATGCGCAAGTTACAGAATCAAATTTATCAATTCCATTGCAGTAGTTCGAAATAAATTGAGTTATAATATAAAAAATATCGAGATTGTCTGTGTATATGCTTCATTTTTTTACGCTCAATCATTCTTCAATAGTTCCTGACGTCGCCAAAACATAATAATAATAGAATTACCTCCATTCGTACTATAATATTATAAAACAAATAAATTTCGAACAGATTTAAAAGCAATGAAACACTGAAATCTCTGTAGTTGAATTGAACTGCGTGATGAAATGAAAGTTCACTAGTTTTAGTATTTTAGGCATCATTTTTTGGTATTTACATCTTTCAGTAGCATTAGCAACAAGAAGTGAATTGACAACATTGAGTAAGTGAGAAAATGGGTTTATTGATGCAATACAACAAGAAAAACTGTTTTTGTACGAAATATCGAAATTCGAAATATGAAATACAGTTAATAAATTAAATAAAGATATTCAAAGAAATACAAAGGACTGAAGTTCCAAAATCGACAAAAGAAAAACAAGTCAGATCGTTTACCGGAAGTCTATAGAAAAAGCTCTGTGAGGTTGTGTTATTTCTCTAGATTTTTTTCTATTTCTTCTTCCTGTGTATGTAATAAAATAATTGAAATATTCAATCAAGTATTCAAGTATTTCTAAATCAAGTCATGTTCATTTTTATTACCCCTTTTATTTTCTTTCCATTCATGTATATATATACTATATTTAGTCAATTTAATTGTTTGAATATTTAAGGTCCCCTCCTGGTTCATTTATGTTCATCATTCATATTATAACTTTCAATTTGAGAGTATTTTTAAATTGAGTCTTGTTTGTTTCTATTTCGCTATTTTTCTTTCTATTGTTCCTCTCTTTTAAAGTATGTTTTTATTGTATTTTGTCAGCTAAATTGTTTGAATATTCGAGTTTTTCTGCTGATTCATTCATATTATCACTCATAGGATCACATTTACCATCTACATATATCACTTATATTTTATTATATCTTATAATAGGGCTTATGTAAACTGCATTACGTATATTATGAATGAAATAAAATGAAAAAATTGAAACGGACGGCAATCTCGATTTTCTTTATACTCGAATTGATCTATTCAGGCTTGAAAAAACCACTACTAATGTTATATATCAAACGATGAAATATTGCACTAATATCCGATGATAATTTGATTCGATTTGATTCTAACAGCAACAAAATCATTCATAATGATTCCGTAAATCAAATACACTTGGCAACATGAAAAAGAATTCTTGAATATGAATTACACATGTTAGAATTCAAAACGTTGTGGTATTTCAGCACCAAAGAATAAATTATCCCCATCTCTAAAGCTTCTTTGACAAATTAAAATGTAACAGGAATTAATACAAGTTGTAACGAATAAGAAGACAACATCTTGAAGTTTTTGTAACCCAGCCAACCACTCTATATGCAATGAGGTGCTTTCGTGAAATGAACTTTTCTAACATATGCCCCTTTATTATCTCGACATAATACAGCCAAGAAAGTTAAAAATTTATCTCGGTGAAGTTAGAAAAAGACATTAAGGAATTGGAGCATTTTGAAATGATAGGAACACAAACTTCGAAATTGTATTTTGGACATTATCCTTCATAACCGAGAAATTGTGGATATAACCGAAGAAAAGAACATTTTCTAGTAAAGGGTTCACCTATTTCTCTGACCAACGTCCTGCTCAGAATCACAAATATTGCATCGAACAGTTTCGCTACTTAACAGTTAGTTATTATAGAGATCTGGAAATTGACTTGTTGAAATGTTGGAAATATTGATTGACGCGATTGTTATTTCAGACTGTCAACCATCATCTGCAACAATAAACCCAAAAACAAATACATATAACAATGGCGTAAGGCTGCCACATAGTGAATATGCTGCCAAAAGCATGGTGAAAGATTATGGAAAAATAGAAATAAGTAGAGAAATGAATACTGTTAGAATGAAGTTAATACAACAGTATATTAATTTATGGATTCGATATATAATATTTGTTAATTAAGGAATGTGAATTTTCAATCGAAACACTGAAGAACATACGAACCAAAGAACTGTTGAAAATTGTAGTCACAACTCAAAACTGTTGAGTTATATACAATGACCAGTTAGGTCATTATTGATTCATTTTTATGTATGTTTGAGTGAATAACAATTTTCAATAAATTAAAATTTTTTGAGAAAATCTTGAGAAAGTAACAGAGGATTTCAGTCAGTTTGTTTTGTTTCAGTCTATTGTACTTAGACGACAAAAACGATAATTCACCATATCAATTTTTCGTTTCATTATCAACAGTTATGAAACTGACGAATTCATTCTTTGTATTTTTTAATGGGTAACATATACCCTAAGTTTTTTTCTAACTTTCAATCAGACTTTCAGCTGAATTTCCAATTTCCTGAAAATACCTGCATACTTCCATTAGTCAGTGTTGTATCGCATAATTTTGCATCGAGTACTTTATACTGGGTACTAATTGAAGTAGAATAATAATTACACACAAGAACAACGTCTCAAAATAAAAGAAGAAACGCTTGTTGAATAATGTTAGTTCTGTTATTGTTACTGCATAAACTCTAAATGTAAGAAGTTTCATATTTAACATATTCAATTTGATTATGGCAATCATTACTTTGCTATGTTTGTCTCCTAAAGGGGACAAGACACAACAGGTCTCGAACTATCGAGAAATGTTAAGAATGAATGAGGTTTTGATCCCTTCACCAGACCGGTTATTCCCGTTACCTACATTCTATATATATATATATATATATATATATATATATATATATATATATATATATATATATATATATATATATATATATATATGTATATTCATTGGGGGTATTGTCACGGATATTTGCCACTATCCTCAAAGAGCAAAGTGTTTGACCAATAAGTATTACCAGCGATGACCTACGCCAGCGAAACTTGGACCGTGAAATCTGCTCACTTTCAGAAGCTTCAAACAACCCAGCAGAGTATAGAAAAATACATGATGGGCCTAACCACACGAGATAGAATACGGTGCAGCTGGATAAGAAGTCAAAAGAAGGTGAAGGATGTCGTGGAGTGTGTGAAAATGTCAAAGTGGGCAGGTCATCTAGCCCGAACAAGAGATGATGAGCGTTGGTCAGCTGTGGTTAGTGATTGGAAGCCCAGAAACAGACTAAGATCAAAAAAGCGACCTCACGACCGTTGGGATAATGAGCTTGTGATTTGCCTGGGCGTTGTGTGGAAGAGACTAATCCCTATCTGGTGATTCCCGAAAGGGAATCTTGGCAAAGAGAGGGGGACGCCTACGTTCTGCGGTGGACAGACAGAGGTTGATGATGAGCATTATATATATATATATATATATATATATATATATATATATATATATATATATATATATATATATATATATATATATTTAATTAATATTATTATATATATATATATATATATATATATATATATATATATATATATATATATATATATATATATATATATATATATATATATATATATATATATATATATATATATATAAAAATATTTAACGCGCTGGCCACGCACGTACGGATCATATTGTATATGAAGAAATATATATATGTGAATGTGGAATCGAAATTACACCACAAGTTTTCAAGTCGAGTTTTCAACCTCGACTGAGATACGATCTCAGCTCCCAGGTTTACGCCCTGTTGGTCTACCAACTAAGCTACCGAGGTCTACATTCCGCGATGCAATTTCGACTATATCTAATTAATCTTTTGTTCGCAAGGTAGTCGTCGACGCTCGGGTTGTAGTCTTTCAAACTGCAAGAAAGTGAGTAAACACCTTCCCATCCTCCCTGTATATATATATATATATATAAAACGATTCACATATATGATTATATTTGTATATATTTTGCAGTATATTACAATTTTCGATCAAATATATGTTCATTCTGAAATACGACAATTAATCTCGATTTCCTATGAGTAATATTTTCAACGCTTGTTTCGAATAATTTATCATTCTTTCACATATCCAACCACGTAAACATGTCATTATGAAAATGGAAAACATCTCAGAGTGAACAGTTTAATAAGATAGCCGTATAAAAAATGGGTGGCTGGCTTTGCGGATAAAAAATTTGGCGAAGCGTGTTCGAAATACGTCGAGAAACAAAGGATATAGAAAGCAGCGATATACATAAAGGAGAGTACATAATGAAGATTCATGTAGTGGTCGTACGTTGCGGTCTCAAGATAAAACCTACGTCGGATTTGACGTCGTTTGACTAGGATATATGCTGAACTAACCATAAATTTCACGAGATTTTGTGGGAGAAATATTATGGAGGGACGTATATTACAGAACGTTACCTATAATTCGTTCTGAAATAAACGAATAATGTAAAGCGTTATGAAATAACCGTTTTTTTTTATTCCTCCAAATATATATATATATATATATATATATATATATATATATATATATATATATATATATATATATATATATATATATATGCTCTCAAACTATACTTTAACTTCCTTTCGAAAATTTTTTGACAAATGTTCAAAAGAACTTTATAGCAGAGCTGGTTATGTGAAACATGAACAATGCAATGTCTCCATTAACCTTCTAGGGTTGAATGTTACAAAATATTGGAGTCTCCATCATTCTTCTATGGATAAATGTTAAAGAATATTGAAATCAATATCTTCATATATTGAAAGCGTAAGACAGTCACTGTTTCGTACTACAAGGTACACGATTTCAACTCTCGCATATCCTCCTATTGATTGTAAGACAGAAATTATGTATATATTTTATGATTCAATATATTTCTGAAAAAATAAGCCAACAGTTTGATTTAAATTTCTACATATTATGTGCGCCTAAAGGTGGTTCGAACGATGCTTTACAAACACCTAAACCTAGGAGACTAAAAATACTTTACAACTCCGGAGTATACCGTTTCGTCATTTCACCACCCGAAGATTTCAGATATCAGTGTCTAAGGTTGAAAACGAAACTTCTTTAGAGCTAAGGAGAACTTACGTCAGGCATAATAAATAAAAATGTTGAAGCTCAAGGACAAACCAACAAGAAATGAAGCACTACTTGTTTCAATACAAGAAAAAAGAGAGACAAATTTTTCATCAATAGTTACCCAATCAATGTCAATGTTTTGCATCACCAAAAGGAAAAAAGATCGTGAAGCTTCTCTATCATTTCGTGTTCTTCAATATAGTTGCTGGTTTGTTGCTTGTTTTTATAACCATACTTTATAATGCCATTGTAGAAAAAACTGGTTGTAAAATAAAATTTCAATGGTTTTAGGCTTGTATCTATTTTAGACTCAAAACTACTCAAGATTTCCTGTATTTTTTTTAATATTCTCTGATAAAAATGACGTGTATAACGAATTGAAATGACAACGAGCGTTTCAGCAACCGCAACCTAGATGGCGCATTACTTCATCAGATTAGATGAAAATGTCCAAAACACTAGAGTTGTAAAATGCAATATCTTAATTGATAAGGACATGTGAAAACTTCATTGTCAGATGTATTCAAATGCTTTTCATTCATTCTTAAGATTTGAGATATACATTAGGCTATACATTATATGTGCATACGACTTACTTTATATTTCTGTCTTACAATCAATAGGAGTGCATGTGGGAATTGAAATCGTTGCCTTTCATTTGTTGAACGTGGCGTAACTGATGAGTAACTTGTAGTACGAAACAGTAACTGTCTTTCAATAAATGTAGGCATCGATTTCAATATTCTCTAGCATTTATCTCTAGAAACATAATGGAGGTTTCAATATTGTCTAATATATACACCATAAAGGACAATTTTTTGCATCACCAAAAGGAAAAAAGATCGGGAAGCTTCTCTAACATTATGTGTTCTTGTTTTCTTCTTGTCTCCATAACTATAGTTGCTGGTTTGTTGCTTGTTTCCGTAACTATACTTCATAACACCTGGTTCGTCTTTACTAATTATTATGAATGATAATAGTTGATGATGAGCGGAATATAATATCTTTAGTTTAATTCATTTTCTTTATTACATTCAATCATGTATACACATTACACTTAACCCGTTCCATTGTTTAAAATACGACCATCCTGAATACCTCATTTAGACCAGATGTGATGAAACCGGAAATAAAAGGTACATTCTAGTACAAGACGTCGTTAGATACGGATATAATAGTGAATTAATAACATTAGTACAAAGCATACATCATGTTCTACGAGATATAATAGTACTTTACTGACTTATTACGCTGAGAGACACTTCACATCGTCCTAGTTGCAAGTTTCTATCCTTTTCCTGGACCACCCCGGGTAAGTGGAGTGTCTTGTGTACATAAACTATATTGATTCATTTAATTCACTTTGTTTTATTCATAGCATTCTTTTACTTTCCATTTAGACATATTTATTCTCAGTACGTTGTTAGACGAATTAGCTTCTCCTTACACTTAAATACAGTCCACTTTTTACATTTAATATTCTACTTATACGTTCACGATACAACACAATTATAGAAAAAACTGGTTGCAAAATAACATTTCAGGCTTGTATCTATTTTATTCTTGAATCTACTAAAGATTATCTGAATTTTTCCAATTGATCTCTGATAAAAATTTTAGAAGAGATGAAAGTAAACATCTTTTAATTGACTCAACGTGTATAATAAATTGAAATGAATGAATTCGTTACATATCCACAACATTCATACAGAGTGATAAATTAAGATTCAAGAATTCAGCACTCAGTTCTTCGCAATTGTTTCGATGAAAATGAAACTCAGTAGGAGCCAAACCACTCCATTTACCAAATCAACGTATTCGTTTCACATCGACACGACTTTCAGCTTATCGACTCGTTGGTAATGGATGTGCCATTAGAAAACAGCTTTGTTAGGGGCAACGACACATTTACTATTTTTGTGAGCTCACAAATACCCTGGATCAGATTAGAACTTATCTTTTTTTAGCCAGTTGATAGAGTGCTTAGATTTATATTAATGCTTGCCACGCCATTGATATACTTTATTTGATGATGCTACCTTTCAATTTCTTCAAACTTCTCAAAAGCACCTCAATGTTATTTATGTGGTGTTCAATTTTATTCTGTAATGCACTGTGGCTTGTTGACATAGATTTTGATCTCGAAGAACCCAATGAAAGGATATCTAATGTTGAATCACACATGATACTTCAAGATCAGAAGATATTTCATGATATTTATGAAGGTTTCTGGTACAAGAGCTTTGTAGAAATGTGTTGTTGATTAAACAAATAATTTATAATAATGGTCACTGTTCAATCATTTTCATTTATGATTGGTGATTCTCGTTTTGAATCTTCAACACTCACACCCTCTGGATGATTCTATTCATCTACATCAAATTTGAGATAATCTCATTTTGAACGAGGTAATTTTGATATTCAACAGAGCCATGAAGGTCAAAATGTATCTTATATCACATAGTCTTGTTGGTCCAAAATCAATGTGCATCAGATGATGTTTGAAACTCATTCAGATGATTAACTTCTCTGTACATGATCATCAGGCTGAAGTAGGTATTTTTGAACATGAAAACACTGATTTTTCGAGAGTAAGCGCTATAAAAAGCCCCTTATACCATTGCAATTTTTGTCTACGCAAATTGATATTCTGAGATCCTCTGATGGCTCATTTTCGGACAATGATTGTGTTGAGCGTACTCAGCTGGTCTAGCCCTTCTGAAATCTTCAATGGAAATCTTGACAATTCACGGAGTTTCGATACAATCCCAACCATATTTTGTATAATATTCTGAAAGTGTTGCTGAAACTTTTATTACATTTGAAATGTCGAACAGTTAAAACATTAAATTGTTCTTTGTAGTTCTGCAATTACACCAATAAGTTGTCAAAGTAGTTCGTTTTATAGTCGCTAGAAATTCACTGAACAATTGACTTTGAGTTTTCTTCGTTCCTCAATTCTTGGTTACCTTCAGAGTACTGAGAACCACCTAGGCAACAGTATGACGTACTCTTTTCACATATGTACTTTTTTGAAAGTTTGTAAATAACAATGAATAAAACGATTACCTATCAATAGTTTTCCTGGAATAAAATTTTCAAAACTGTAAAAGCAACGCTGAAAGATGAAAATGTCATTCTGATAAGAAAATGAAGTTTCTTCGCCTAATTTCCACAAAAACAATGGTCATTTTCACATGCCATTCAGTTACTTGGTAGCATGTCAAGATACAAAAGTTTGAAAATTCAATATAAGCCACCCCCGACTACCCGCAAAGCTTTTCCGAACACCGATCACACGTTCTTCGGCATAAGTATGTAAGATACATCCCTCTCGCAGATGAAACCGGTCGCAAGGAAAAAGCCCTTTCATATTGAATTCACATTATGACTGGTCGGGCAATAAATTCGAAATTTTATTCATGGAGATCGACCCTCCTTTGCCAAAACGAAACTCTCGCGAAATATCAGTCAATGGAAATCGGGGGAAAATGAATCTTTATTTAGGATATATTCACGCCTTTTCACAACGTTCAACGGAATCACGTCTTCCGTTATGACCCCATATATTTTTATATATACTTTGAAATGGATTCTCCGAAAATGTGGTATACTGGTAATGTCGAATGATTGACTATTGTGTCCATTCCAAAGAGTCCCTTGACATCACTTTGACGAAATCAGAAATCACAACTCAACCCAAATTTGAATAACTCATCAATCGATTATGCCGGTACTTGATGGATATATAAGCACATAATTCAAATAAAGCTAAGTAGTTGTCGGATTTTCACTATAATTTTTCTGAAACATGACAACATTGTTTCGCAAACACGGTGGCTTCATCAGATGATGATGACAAACTGCTATTATATTGTAGAACACTGTTCTTTTTTTGTAGGAGAATGGCTATGGAACATATTCCTTCTGAATTGTGGGGATGACCATAGAATACTTTTCTTCGCTTGCCTTTTACTAGAATGAATTTGATAAAGGAGAACTATTGATTGAAACTTTTTTGTTTTTCAATTCGGTGGACCTACAGTTTAACGCCGATTCCGAACGGCCATTGGGCTTGTAATCGATGTACATTACCCAGCATATTTCATTATTGAAATTACTTCAATCATAGACAAACACAAACACCCATGCCTTCAGCGAGGCTCGAACCCGAGTTCTACCGCACCATAGGTGGGAGTTCTACCGACTAAACTACAGAGATCAAATTTGATGGAAATACGGAGATTGAAAATTGATCATTAAATGAACTATTTGATTTCTTGCTCTCACTGATTTCCATGGTTTCAAAAAGGGTTAGTTTATAATCTTTATGTTCCGTATGCAATATTTTCAAGTTGTTCTCCTTCGAGAAAAACTCAAAAACCATGAGGACACAAAAGAGAACCATGTCTTCACATGGTCCTCTTATAAAACATGTGTTGCATACGTAGAATCGGTTTTACTTATGGCAAAGCATCCTTGGTTCAGATATTCTATGTCAGGAATATACTTAGAATATGGAACAGACTTGTAAAAGTTATAAACTAACCCTGTTAGAAGCCATGAAAATTAATAAGAGGAATAAATTTAATACTTTATTAAATGATAAAGTTTTAATGCATAATTCTCTTTCATTGAATTTATTCCAGTAAAAGGCAATCTAAGAAAATTATTCTATGGTAATGAAACAATATTTGAAATTTCTCATAATTTCAATACAAATACGCATGACGACGTTTCGAAGTACTACTTCTATATCAAATGCTGGATTAATACTGATATTCTATGGTCATCCCTCACAATTCAGAAGAAATATGTTCTGTAGTCATTCCCCTACAAAAGAAGAACAGTATTCTATGGTCATTTCACACACTTCAGGATAAATATAAGCAGTCCACAATGCAATAGCTCAGTTTATCATCAACATCTGAAAAAGCCATTGTGTTGGTGAAACAATATTGTCATGTTTTTGAATTGGTTATAGTGAAACTCATAAAAATACTAAGTTTTATTTTTATTAACATAACTCACTTTCACTCGAATTAAATTGTGACTACAATTGTACCTACATCACTCTTTTCAAGTCATCAGAATCGAAGAAATTTTCCATTAAAACAGTCTGGTTTCAGCGAAAAAATACATACAATTCAATTCCACAGAGTAAAATCGGTAAAACGTGGTGACCACTCCAAATAGAATTCAAGGTGTGGAATATTACATTAAGGCCCATTTTGCATGAATGGAAATCATGAAAATATAAATTAGTAATCCTATATATTTATATGAGTTTACGAGGTTATTTATGCAGTTGGTGTATCTAGAAAGCTGGAACCCAATCACAAAATATTTTTGATTTTCCTCGATTTATATATTGAATACCAATTGTTTCCTAAATTTGAAGCTTCTTGTCTGATAGGAGTGCCTTAGATTTTTGATGATCAGTAAGTCAGTGATTGACAAAATTTGAAAATATTGACTAGTATTTAATTCTAAAAGTACCGATTCCAATTGAATAAAATTTGAAATATACCGTATTCATACAATACCTGCTTGGTTACTCTGAATTGTGGCATCTGAAATTATCCACAACGAAGTTATATTTTTCATCAGAAAACTGTGATTCCAGCGGGAAAGTGATAATGACTTTGATCAGTGATTTTAAAGGCCCCTTCCATTTAGTTTCACAAAGAAAATCGGGAAAACTTGTTTGCCAATTTCATTCAAAGTGTGGACAAGTGCATTAAGACTGACTTTGCGTTAATTGAAAACACAAAATGAATGAAAAATCGAACATCTTCACATTTCAATGTAAACACTAAATCGTCCATGCGGGAAAATTAGGGCGAATTTTGAAACGTAAAGTCCACTGAGTTTAGGTTCAAAAAGAACTCGTTCTATGCGAGAAAAACGAAAGAATGAAATACTCTGATATAACGTGCTAATAAGGAAAACATTTTCTGTCATAACCTAAACGTTAGTACTTTCATCAAAATATCTCATTAGAGTGAGATGTTATAGTTTTATATTTTTTTTTGTGAAGTGAAAATACGTCCAAGAAACTTGGTGGTCACTCTTGAAGTCTTGCACTGTTTGGTTGTTTTTTTTTTCAATGTATTAATCTGATTCTGACCCATTTCAGGACCAGAACAACAGAAAAAATTCTGAATACTTCTTCAACTTCAAAGTCTGATCTGAAAAATATGCTATTGAAATTTTCCATAGAAAAATTATTTTGGATTGAAAAAAGACTCTTAGTCTCCGAGATAAAACGATGTGAGGACATATATTTCATTCTGTTGAAATTTCATCGAATTAAGTGTGGAGTAGCTGACGAAATAACTGACGAACACCTGAATACTCATAATTCAAGAAAAAGATTGTTTTTCTCAATGTCACTAGTTTTGTTATTGTACTTTATGAAATTTACTAAATTTCTTGCATTCACAATAAAATAAACTATCTCATGTACATAACTTCACAGACGTTGGATTCCCAAGTTGTCCTTTAATTTTTTTTGCTTAAAACTCCAGCGAGTTGTTTCTAACGCTCCAATAACGATGATTTTGAGGCTCTAGCCAAGATTGAAGTATAGCTCCAGTGAACGTAGTTTGATAGTTCCAGCGAACGTACTTTTAGCTCCACCGGAGGTAGTTTTACAGTTCCATCAAAGGTTGAATTACAGTTCCAGCGAACGTGACTTTCAGCTCCATCGGAGGTATTTTCAGCTCCATCGGAGGTGACTAAAAGCATTCAGGCAAATCAACATTCTATTTTAGGCTGAAGTTATTCCAAGGATTTCTGTAGGGTCTCGATGGCACACTCACATTTACAGATAGTATGGTATAATTTATATATACCAAGAAATAAAGCAAGGGTTCTAACATAGAATATGAACGTGAGATACGAACACGTGGAATTAGCCTATATTCTTGAAACGCATACAAACGAAAAAAATTATTCTGACTACTTATATGAGTAGTTTCTGAATTCTTTTCATTTGTCATATACACTATAATTGGATGTGTGCATGAGTTAGATAGGGTCACTACATAAACAGTTGAATAACAATAGTATTAAACATAATAAAACAATAAACATCATCCATTTTTAAGGACGTTTGCACAGATAAAAGATTAATTTCATATCGTCAACAGTAGGATTATGAATTTTCCAAGGGAAAACTGCTTTAGTCAGAACAAAAAAGAAAATTCCATCTTTTCAAATCAACTAATTCAATAAATCTAACAACTCCGATAGCAATATCGGTGAACCTTTGTAGTATGAGAGTCGAACCACCGTTGAAGATTTCGACCACTTTCCAATTCCACTCAAGAAAAGCCAAACACATAATTCGGTCTGAATCTCGGTTCCCGGAAAAGTGAAGCGAAGTTTTCGAGTTTCGATTCACTAACAGTCTGTGCAAAACTCGGACAAAAGTTTTATTTCACAGGATGCTAAATCAATTGTACGCCCGAAAAAGTTTTTCTTTTTCCGAAACGTCGTGTCGCGAAGACGAATGTTGGGGTCGGCTAGAAGTGCATCAGGAAGGGAATAAATTATCGAAAGTTTTCAGTCTCCATAATGTTTCAGGTTTATGTGAGTACTTATAAATGAAATAGATGATATCTTATTCTTTGAGAAATATGTCTCTTCACAAATTTTTATCGCAATATAACATGAATTACGACTACTTCAAACTTCTCAAAACTGTTAATGCAGTAGTAAAATAACTCATTCCATAATCCATTCTTTGAAGATGTGAACTCTATTGATCTGCCAGAAATAAATCGATATTGATTTAACTATGATGTATATATATATATATATATATATATATATATATATATATATATATATATATATATTATTGAATGGAGTATCACAGTCACGAAATGAACGTTTTAAATCAAACTTCATTATTACGAATCATCACTCCTTATTTAATCAATCAATCAAGAATCGATAACTTTCAAAACGCCCACAGGTCCTATATCAGAATAAGGAAAAAAACACTGTGAAAATTCACGTGACCTCCCTCTATCGATGAAAACGCGTATGAATTCTCCCTAGCGTTGTAGATTCCTGAGACTTCGTGGACATTCCATTCGAACACCACAGAAATCTGTCTGCTAATGTGTAAAAATGCTCCCATGCCTAATCACTACAGATCAGTCAAAAGGATAGCTAGTTTCAAGATTCACGAATCATTAATACTAGTAAACACTGAGACTCCTAATCGAAATATCAAATTATTTCAAATCACACTCTCAGGGAGCTGTCTGAACAAAATGTTGTCAATGAGAACAAACCTATCACTTTCGATAGTCAATTTTAAGTGCTTTTCGAAAAATCGTCGAACTTGTTAAATGAAAATGTCTTAAAATTGTATCATCCTAATAAGGAATCATCAGTGACATTCATTCAAATAATCAAGAATCGATAACTTTCAAACAAACCCAGGACAGCATCAACTAATTACATGAGAATCTTCTATCGATATTTATTCAGTGATTTTATTTAGTGAGAGCTTCGAGAGAAAACGAACCTGAGTGTGAATATTAGGTGCATTTCGAAAAATCTAAATCAGAAGGTGTTTAAATGGAATGTCTACAAATCCTCTACGTACTTTCACTGATGTTTTCATGCGGATGAACTATAATTCCTCATTTATACCTCATTTTTTCGATATAGGGAGCCTACATGAATTAGTTCACGAAGTAATGATCTCCTCATTTCGAAAATGGGAACTAGGGCATTCGAAAGTCATCGATTCTCGATAATTTGATTATCGAGATAAGTATTACTGATGATTCCTTATAACGATGATACAATTGTATGGCATTTTCAACAAGTTCGATGATTTATCAAAACGCTATAAAATATGCACCCTCAAAAGTGATACGGCCGTTCTCCTTGACAAAATTGTTATAGACAGCTCCTTGAGAGTTTTATTTGAAATATTTTGATATTTCGATTGATAGTCTCAGTATTGACTGAGTAGAAGAATTCGAAGATTATTGCTTTTTTCATTCATTCAGTATGTAACTTCTTCATTTTGATCTTCTTTATCAACGACTAGTAACATATTATGATTTGAATAAAATCATAACATATTCTCCGATTTTGCACTGCGCAATGGCGTTATCCAAATTGTTATACCTCTTTTTACCTCATGTACACATGAAACTAAGATGTGTAGGAGAATTGGAAGAACTCATGAAT